ATTCTCATTACTCTGTAATTGTTTTAATGTATCCTCAGATTTCTTGTGTCATTTATTTACTGTAGCAACCATTTGAAAAGTATAGTATTATCAAGTATTAAAAATATTGCAGATTTATTTCAATGTTTTCTTCTGATATGGTAGCTGATATTGTTTATTTCATCATAAAAACCAATATTATTTTTCTAAAATAAATGTTAATGTTTGAACCATACTTATAGATATTAAGTAATATTTAAATGTATCACTGAAGTTCCTTATTATTTATAACAATTTTTAGTATGTAGTTTATGTAGTCTTAAGCTTATCTTTTTTCTTATTGAAAAGTGTAGAGACACATACATAGTGCAAATTAATGTACATTTTTGTCTATTTCTAATGCTCTGCTAGCTTATGTTCATATATGCAAAGCAAAATATATATTCTTAATTATCATTTTTCCCTCTTTCATTTTAATCCAGGGTTTACACTGGTCAATGTTCAGAGGCTATAATGAATACTCTAACAGAGGTAGATAATACATAGTAATTAAGCTCATCAGCACTGTATACAACTTCTAAGGTATAAATGCATATGTGCTGTTTCCTCCAAGGTATTTCTTGTAATCATATATCTCAGGCGTAGAGGAAGTGTCTGATGTAAGATTAATGTGATTATGTGATTAATGGATACATGATATTACTAAATTTGCTTACTGTCCAATGATAATGTCATTAATAAACACCTTGCTTCTCAATTATTACTGGATTTATTTCTCCATTTTCTATTGATATGCCCCTTCTTTTTTATATTACTTATTTTGTGTGGTTCATATTTATTAAAACATATTCTGATCCCTGGATAAAAGGTTTCCTGTACATTTGAAGTGGGATTATTAGTTTTTACTTATCCCTTTTATATTTCCATTAATCAAGTAATTAGGATTGTGGGGTAAATATACTTTTTCATAAAGGACTTGTAGGTTTTCTTGTGGTTGTGCAAATGATCTCTCTGATAGACATTTTTACAATAATATATCCCTATTTGACTTGATAATTATATTTCCCAGTAGTTTTTTTTTCCCCATTGGTTCCCCCTTCCCCCCAGATTATATCTGTATTTCCCTTTCATTCTGAATTCTTTATCTTCCCCAGTAAAACCTGATATAAGATTGTATGCATACATAAATTTTTTCGATTGCCTACTCCACGTTTTTAACATTGTATTCTTCAGTGGCCAATCTTTCTTAATTCATTTAAAGTTTAAAATGTATTATTAGCTACTGTTGAAAACTGATGTAATGAGCAAGTATACCTTCTGCAAAATAAAAGTTTGGCTGTAGCAGTCAAATCAGCTGTTCTTAAATAAATTAGTGTGATTGAATGATTCCATCTTAAAAACTTAAAAATAAAATCAGTATGATTTTTAAAAATCATTTTCTAAGTGAGCCATATGCAAATTCAGTTGGAATTTACATTTTTATAAGTTTTCCTTTCAAATAGATTGCCCTTCCCTTTTTTCTACATGTTTGAATTAACCAACTCTGACTAGCAGTAGGCGTTATTTTTGCTTCCCCCCTTGTTTATTAAGGAGCTATGTACACTGTATCTTGCCTAATATGTTAAGTAGCTTCCTCTATTTTGATCTGCTATTTGCTGTTTTTTTTTTCTTAAAGGGCATATGTGGCTTACTGTATTTATTTATTTTCAGTGACTATACTTTTTTCCCTAGGTTCTGACACCCTTTTTTTTTTCTTTTCAATAATATCTAGTTCATGGTGCTTTTTAGTCTCTTCTATTGGCTTCCTTTCTAACTTTGTACCAGAGTTCAGTTTGTATGTTCTACAATTCTAGATCACCTGCCTGTTAGATTTGTAATTGAACCATGGACTTTTATTCCAAAATACTTGCATTGCTTTTTATTTGAAACTTATCCTTCCCAAAAGGAAAACATCTTTATGCCAGTTAACCTTGCCTTTATCTTTTACTTTTCAGGTGCTTCTAAAGTAAACAGAATGTTTACATGCATGTGTTGGTAGCTTTAAATAAAATTAATTTGCATATTTTCTTCTTATTTCTTTACTTGTGCTGAATCTTTTGATTGTCAGTCAGGTAAATCAACAAGTATTAGGTACTTAATAGGTGCCAGGCACTGTGTTAAGTTCTGGGGATATACAGACAGGCAAAAATCAGTCCCTTGCCCTCAAGAAGCTCACATTCTAATAGGGAAGACAACATCTAACTAACTGGGTACATACAAGAGGTAAGACAGTGTGAATGGGAGGTACTCTGTGCATCAAATTTTTACCTGAAGAGGTTTCCTCTTCCTACTAGTATACTGTGTTAAACAATATTTAACATCCTCATTTTCCTGTATTATTGTTATATGAGGATATTAGTATTAAATTTCCCTTTTTCACTGCCCAACACTTGACCGGATAACATTAAACCTAGGCATCTGCACGATGCAGATGATGTTTATGTTGGTCAAGGTTATAATATTTCTCACTTTCACATGTATTATGGTTAACAGTATCCTATGTGAGGAATTACATTATGGGCTCATTCTTACTGCTTATACTTTGTGTCATTTCTCCATAATGTCATCATTTCCTTCATATTATAGTTGGGAGTCCTGTGTAAAGCACATTAGATCTAGACTTCCCATTTCTCAACTTTCTAAAGTTTACTTGGGCCTTGCTTTAAGACAGGAAATCAAGAGTGACGTCATATTTTTCTCTGCATTAGCAGTTCTCTTGGTTAGTGACCTAAGTAAATTTGTAACCACCTGTGCTATTGTGAATAAGGCATTCTTGTTTTAAAATTGCTTTCCTGGGTCAGGGTAAACGTTGGGTAGGTAGTTAAGCAGCTTTGTGGCCAGTTATGTAAACAGCAAGATTGTCTCCACTCAGTGCCTTTAATCTTGGATGTTCAAAGTTTTGAAGCCCATCTATCACACTCGAGAAGAGAGGAGACAAAAGTTTTATCGCTGTTCCCACTACACCTGTTTATGCTGCCTTGGTGTGCAATCGGGACTGTCCAGCCACAGCACACACCACACCCCACTCCGTGGCCGCGTGCCCCCAGCCCCCGCCAGGAGGTTTCCCCAGCGTCCTGAAGGGTTCAGGCCTCTGTACCCCTGCTGGACAGACAGCCCGCCCTCCCCGGCTGGGCAGCCCGGCCCAGAGCACTGGCTCCAGTGGCTGCCCGACGGCTTCCTATCGCTCCATTCACCTGCAGCAGCCGGAGGACTTCTCCCTTCCCTCCCCCCTCCGGGGTGATGCTGGCGAGTGGGCGGGCTGGCGCTCCCTAGGCTCTGTGCCCAGTCCGGGGCTTTCTCTTTGGCCCCGGAGCGGGAAGAGGGGAGAGCTTCCCAGGTCCCCCCCCCATTCCTCGGGGTTGTTTGTGGTTGTTTTCCTGACCCTTTCTCCCTCTTCCTTGTGACTTTCTTTCTTTTCATCGAAGATGATGATCTCTAATCTTCCTCGTTTTCCTCCCCCCCAATGCACACACACAGACACACAGACACACACAAACACACACCTGCCCCATCTGTCTCGGCCTCCTCTGTAATAGGGAAGGTGTCAGCCCCCCGCCCCGCTCCCCCTGCCCCGGCCCCGGCCCCAGCCCCGGGCTCTCCCACCCTCCCTCCCTCGCCTGTGCCGCCGTCGCCGCCGCTGCCAGCCGCCAGTGGTGCCTCTTGCGTTGCTCCCTGTTATTCTGGGTATTGTGTGTAATAAATGCAGAGCCGCCTCACTCTAATCAAGCTGATTACAAATTCTTGCGCGCCCTGTGCCGGAAATCGCAGTCTCCCCCCCCCCCATACACGTTTTCCCCCCCCCTTCTATTTCTCTCACTCATTCAGTAGTTACTTGTCTTTCTGGTTTCTTCTTCCGCCACCCCCACCTCCGCCCCCTCCCCCAGACCCAACCTTAACCCCCATCTTTGCCCTCCATCCCGTTTTTTTTTAAATTTTAATTCCTTTTCTGCCTTTCACTCTCCCTTTTCCAACTATCCCTCTCCTCACCCCCTTCCTCTTCCTCCTCCTCCTCCTTCTCCTCTTCCTCCTCCTCCTCCTCTTCCTCTGCCACTTTTTCTCCCTCTCTCCCTTTCTCTGTCTCTCTGTCTGTCTTTCTGTTTCTCCCAGGACGCGCCGGATGATCTGGGGCCGCAGGGGAAGGGCTCCGGGCAGCTGCAGGGAGGCTGCGTCCTCCAGTTCAGAGCGGTAAAAAGCCGGTGGCCTCGGTGTTATTTTGTATTAAAATGAGGAGGAGGAAGAAGAAGCAACAGCAACAGCTCCGGCGGCGGCAGCAGCAGCAGCAGCAGCCACGACAACGAAGGCGGCAGCAGCAGCAGCAGCCGAAAGCTCTGGCTGAGAGCGGAGCCCAGGAGCTGGGGACAGCGCGGCGGCGGCGGCGGCGGCAGCAGCAGCAGCAGGAGGAGGAGTGATGAGTCAACTAATAATTTAATGGGGACAGAGACGAGAGAAGGAGGGGGGGAGAGAGAGGGAGAAAGAGAGAGAGAGGAGACACACGGCTCAGTCCGGGCACACACGCACACGCGCACACACACACACACACACACACATCTATCTCTGTAACATCCAGCAACAACTACCAAAACGGCCTAATCACAATAATCATATTATCCAGCCAGGGAAACAAGAATAAAGCCTGTAGGATTTAAAAGGACACCCCCCTCCTCCCCTTCATTTTGAGAAACTCTTGAGCAGTTTTGTTGGGGTCTTTGATTTTTAAAATACCGTCATTGTAGCTATTGTTGCTTCCCTCGGACATAGAGGAGTGAAATTTGGTCCACTTTTTTTTTTTTTTGGCTAGGGGAGAGGAGTTATTCGTTGTGGAGGTGGAAGGTGGTGGTGTGTGCCTGCCTCTCTCTCTCTCTCTCTCTCTCTCTCTCTCTCTCTCTCTCTCTCTCTCTCTCTCTCTCTCTCTCTCTCTCCTCTCTCTCTCTCTCTCCCTCTCTCTCTCTCTCCCTCTCTCCCTCTCTCTCTCTCCCCTCCCTCTCTCCCTCTCTCTCCTCTCTCTCTGCCTCTTATTCTCTCTCTCCACTCTTCCCCCCCCCCTTTACTCTCTCTCAGGCACACACAACAGCCCCGGGTAAATAGGAAAGGACAGAGCCTCTCTGCTATTTTTAAGAAGAGCGAAGGCTAAATTAAAAGTGGTATTTTAGTGCCTTTTCCCGTATTTTTTTCGCTACACTTTACCCTCCGCCCTTCCTACTACCCGATAGAGCTCTTGGCTTGGGTTTGGAGGTTCAGGGAGAAAGTTTAGGCTTGTTAATGTTACTGTCAATTGTTTCGGGGGGGGCGGGATTGCGGGTGGGAGAAAGGTTGCTCCCCCCCCTTCTTTCCTCCCTGTGGTTCTCCTGGGTTATTGGAGAATAATACTCCAAGTGACAGCCAGAAGTAGACTTTCTGCTTTTTTCACGACGGAGAGCCTATGAGATAGAGAGCTAGAAGAGAACCCTTTTTTCCCCCTCAGACCTTGTCCGCAGTGATTTTTTCGCTTTTAAAGAAAAGATAATCAGCGACCATCACCCCCCCACACACCCCACACCCCCAAACATAATCTCATTGTGGACCGTATAGCGCTTTTTGCTTTGTTTTTGCGATTTTTTTCAACGTTTCACTTGTCAGATCAATTTTATCTTCTCTCTACTCACTTCCCAGTCTCCCTCCTCCCCCATCGAAAAACCTGTTCTCCAAGAGACATTTGAAAAAAATAACAATTTTTGAATTCTGATTTTTGCCCTCATGGCTTCTCCTCATCTTGACGTTTATTTCTGCCCTTCCCCCGCTTAGGGGGGGAAGGGGGTGGGGGAGACAAAATAATACAATTTAAGGGGGAAGTCGCCTTCAGGTCTGCTGCTTTTTTTTTTAATAAAAAAAAGAGGATATAGAAAAACATCAGTCTTGAACTTCTTCCTCTTCAAGATCTCGGGCTGCAAAGGAAATCTCCTTTGTTTTTATTATTTATGTGCTGTCAAGTTTTGAAGTGGTGAGTTTCAGGTTGGTTTTGCTAATTTCACTCAGTAAAACTGCAGTGTTTCTGTTTCTAGATAGTACTTTGCTTCTTTGTCTCTTTAAAAGGTCACAGTGAAAGCTTGGCCTGGATTGTGACGGCCATATGGAATGGATAAGAGAACAGTCTCTCCAATGTGATTATGGGGTTATGTGGAGGCTAAGGGGATGATCTAAGGGATAACTAATTTAAAACGAATTTGAAGTGCAGAAATAATATATTCTTAAAAGATGAGTATTTTAAGAAAATTAATTATGACTGATCTTTTGTATTTCATTCAGAAATTATGTACATAATTTCCTTAGGAAACAGTTTTGTGGTTTATTTTATACTTGTGGAGGGGGATGTATATATGTGTATGTGTGAGACAGTGACCCCTCTCTAAATGTGTGGGCAAGAAATTGCCCTGAAATGATTTTGTGAAACTCAAAAGAAACTCTCTGACATCTCTAAGGATAACAGGCACATTTTGCTGCTGTCATATTGGGCAGGCCATGCTGGGGGTTGCTCAGCACTATTCCTAACTGAGGTTTCAGTGAACTTTAGCCTTGGGCATGGAGTTTAAATGAGCAAATTAGGTGTTTTATGTGCATGTAATTTTGCTTTGTAATGTAAAGCTTTTTACAAGATAACTGAGTATTTAAAGGATGACTATGGGTGGGTAGTCTAAGAGTTAGTAAAATGACCTATATGGTGTTTTGATAGTAGTCAATAAGCTGACTAAATTACAACCTATCACTTTCATTTACTGTGCTTGTTGTGTTCTTCAGATCTATGACACCTGCATGTTTCCATAACATTATCTTTGATGCTATGATGTATGTATTTTTGTAAGTTACCCAAAATCTCAAGACTTTAAAAATGTTTTTATGTATATATTTCTATACACTATATATTTTTAAAAGAATCCCTAATTTCTATCAAGGTAAAACAGTTTCAGAAAAACAAATTTGTATCAGTACATAAAATATTGTGAGGAATGCTTTTAGAAGTTAATAATCATAGCTCTCTTTTTGGCTTTACACTGCAGTTGATATTAATGGAAAAGAGTAATCTTGGTAAAAAGTGGTTAAAATAGGCACATTTATTGTTAATGAGACTCATAACCAAAAACAGATGGGACCACAATCAATGCTAAACCTTCGGTTCTCAGCATGCCACCCTAGAGTACAAGAATAAATAACCATTATTTCACAAACTTTACAGTCATTCAACTGACATTCTTAAGGTTGCTTGTAAATCTCCAAATTAACGTTTTCCTCCCCCCCCCACCTCGACTATATAGGACAATGTAGTCTATTTTGAAGCAGGAAAAAAAATGTTTACAGCAAATTCTATCGTAATGAGTGATATCTCTTGACAGATCTGGACCTATATAACTTTGGTGTCATAAAAAAATTGCAAAGAATGTTTTGAATTGCAAGGTAGCTAGAAGAACATCCCAATTATCAAAATTCGATTTACTTTTTCTAAATTGTATTCACAGTAATTGTAGCTACTATAGCAGTTCATAAAACAATTCTCTTCACCTGTTCTTGGTGACCATAGTTTTGACTATTTTGCATATGTGATTGGCATAATGGTCACAAATTGTCTTCCTCATAAAGGAGATGATACTTCAAGTCTAAAGATGTAACATAATTCCTATAAACTACTGTTATTAACAATTCCCATAAACTAGTATCTGTTTGTTTCCTTGAAACTGATTTTTAAGATTGTTCTTATTGGGCAACAAAGTTGATAACTGATGCAAAATGCTTTGCAAACCTTAAAGCACTCTACACATGGTAGCTATTATTTTAAATTAATATTTTTTTTATTTGAAGATTAGGAATATAGTGTTATCAGTATTGTTGAATTTTTTTAAGCTGAGCTATACATTTAAGATGAGAGAATACATGAAAAATATTTTTCAAAATGTTCTGTTTCATAAATTATTAGTACTTTTATATCATTAATAGGCTACTAAATTTTAATTAAACATAAAGACTGTAGTGTACCAACACCTAGAATTCATTGATTTTAAATATTTTACTTCTCTCTGTTAGAATATATTTTCATGAACACAGATGGGTTTGGTCACATCTTGGATATAGACTTGATTGCATTTTTAATACGTAGTAGGAATCTCAGGACCTCAATAGGAGACAAACTCTTCTCTTATGTTAACCTGAAAGTAAAGGAGGAAAATAGAAAGTCTTGATGAACTTGCCAGGAGGGAGGGAGAGAGAGAGAGAGAGAGAGAGAGAGAGAGGAGAGAGAGAGAGAGAGAGAGAGAGAGAGAGAGAGAGAGAGAGAGGGAGAGAGGGAGGGAGGGAGGGAGAGAGAGAAAGAGAGAGTATGTCTGTGTGTGTGTAGATATATCTTATACTATGTCTATTGTACCCTTGACTAAAGTTTTAATATTTGACTTATTAATGAACTTTTAATTTTTAATTACTATAAAGAAAATAAAAATCATTGTTTATACCCTACTTTAGTCATTTTGTAGCTATGTTTGTTCCAGATAACATTTGTTCCATAGATAAACCCACGTATTTAACATAGTTCTGTAAATAGAAAACAGGATACCTTTACCCAGATGCATTTGAGCAGTTTAGGGAAAAAATGAGCAATTTTGATTAATTTATTTTTTCTAATATTATTTGCATAGATTGGGATCAGGCAAGTGCTCATTTTAAAGAACATAAATTAGAGAGACAAAAATCTTCAAAATATTTACATGTATATGTACTTACACATGTATACAACTTTTTTTTTTTTAAACATGGCAGGTGATTTTTAGAGGCGGGACTGAGTATGGATCATTTGAACGAGACAACTCAGGGGAAAGAACATTCAGAAATGTCTAACAATGTAAGCGATCCGAAGGGTCCACCAGCCAAAATTGCCCGCTTGGAGCAGAATGGGAGCCCATTAGGAAGAGGAAGACTTGGGAGTACAGGAGCTAAAATGCAAGGAGTGCCTTTAAAACACTCTGGACATCTGATGAAAACAAACATTAGAAAAGGTAAATATCTTAAAGATACATAATGGAAAACTTGGAATACTCTCCAAGACTATTTATCGAGAAAAGCCATACTTTGTGTTTCCTTTTCTTTGCTTCTGTTTCACTTGGGAAAAGACTGGCATTGCTTGGCCCAGATGTAAATCACATTTGGGCAATGTGAACTTCATATTTGGGTGGAGCATCTTCCTCTACTGGATGGAGTCTTTTGACTTTAGATATCTGTCTGAGTCTTCCAAAATGTTAGGAACTCATGTGATGCTGGTGGATGTCATCCCAAGGTAGCATTGAGTAGAAATAAGGATCCTAGAACTTTCTATCATTTGAGTATTAGCAGAGCTTTTTCATGAGGCTGATTGTCGGAAAGGTATCTATTAACTTTTTTGAAGTGGTTTCACAAATAACTTCTACAGTGTGTGAGGTTTGCATTATCCTAACATCAATTTTTCCATTTTAATCTTTAAAAGTAGACTCATTATTTAAAATAAAGGAGCAGATGATTATATTTTCTAGTCCCAAATTTTTTACAATTGGGCATTTTCATTAAGGATGTACAATGTTAGACCAGCTTCTTGGGAATTCTATTGTGTGAGTGTTCATATAAATAATTTAAATTAAATTGATGACAATGTCTTAAAACTTTGACCATATTCAACAAGATGATTCATGTAAAGCAAGGCATAATGTACTGGATATAATTCAGCATGTCTCATAATGGTCCTTGTTTCTCTGTAAATTGCTATATGTTTATAATTCAGATTTTTCTTGCATTTGCTAAGCAGAGTATAAAAATGCAACCTTTTAGCAACCAAGAATATTAAGTAGATAAAGTTAGAAGGCAGTGGAATTTCATTGTGTTTGATGCATAACATTTATCATACAATCATTTATTTTTTCCTTGGTTTGGCGAAAACAAAGAATATATTGATCCCGAAATGAACAGACACAGCAGTCCGTATTGTTAGATCTTTATCTATTAAAAATGGGAAAACAGCACTTCAGCAAATTCTTTGGCCTCTGCTCATGATTACCCTATTTATTGATTGTTTGCCAAGAATGTATGCATCTTAAGAAAGCCAGGGTAAGAGCATTAAAAATATAATTTATTACAGCTTTTCCAACAGAGTGCATTAATATTGTACTGTGAGGCACTGGGGCTCTATAAAAAAGACTTTCTGACGCCTGCAAACATATAAGTTCCATAAATTCCTAAATAGGAGATTTCAGCTGTCTCTGGTATTATGTGATATTTGCACAGCAAACTTTAATGCCAGGACAGTTTTAGACAAGGATTCTACAGACTTCACTGCTCCTTATGGCAGACGTGCTGTTTACACAGACTCGTAAACCTTCAGCAAAAGCTCTAGCCCTGCCTTCAGGTTGAAGTCATGATATATTTTTAGCATTGAACACTGACCAATGTGCTCCTCTTTAATACTAGAAGGTTATAAAGTTGCTGCACTTGGAGGATTAGCCAAGCCCTACCAAGAGTGATCAGCCCGGGCAGCCAGCGGGCTGGCTGCCTTTTACGTAAACAGGAGAGCAGCAGTGACAGCTCACTAAGAGATTTAGCGGCTTGATTTGCAGTCAGATGATCCTTGTGTGTTGCACTATCAGTATCTACCTTTACTATCTCCAGCATACATCTAAATTTGGTCAGTATGTTCCTATTTGTGTCTAAAGACATGCAGTCTATTTGAATAGCGACATCGCCTATAAACATTTCCCAGCTGCAAGAAGCAGCCTAGAGTAGCACACTTTTGTATCATTACATGAAATGAAAAATCAATGCATGTGCTTTTGTTATATTAACATAACTCTTTGAAGTCAGGGGGACATGGGGGGAGGGGAAATCAAAGTATTTTCACTTCCTGCCCAAATGCTTTGGGTTTTTTCAGAAGCACTTACAAATACAGTTTTCCCTTACTTAATAAAAATGTTTATTTTCAACAACAAAGATGCTAGAAAGATTGATATTTTTATCTTTTGTGCAGGATTTCTGGTTTGTTTGGTTCTTTTTTTTTTTTTTGGCAGGTGGCAGGTAAACATTGTAGCCAAACTTAGGAAACCCTACCTTAGAAAGAAGAGCAGTGGTTTTGTTTTTTTTGTGAAATACTCCAGAGAATATTTTAACCAATAAAGAAATCGCCACTTTTGCCGTGGTCTTCCCAAGTCTTCTTTCTTCCTGACCAATCTCCCACTCATATAAAACAGCTGAATGAACTACGTGAACACTGGCAAGCTTTTCAGCTGGCTCTTCATGCTGAGCCTGTTGGGCACTAACTCACCAAAGTGAGTTTGTGAGCTTTCCTAAGCAAACCTAAAGGGGCTAGTTTCTCAGAGCTACAAATCTCTTATGACAGGTCACTGAAGCTTCAATGAAAAATCTACATGTTGAAAATGGCCTTTTTTGGTCACTTTTTGTTATGCAGAAACATAAGTCGAGAATTATAAAGGCCATCTCTACTGGCAATAAGAAATCATAATTCTAGCTACAGTACATATTTGACACCTTTGCAAGTTAGGAGGCTTCTGTAAGTGCAGAAGGCACTACTTATGGAAGCATTAACATTGTTGGACTAATTGGAGATCCTGGGTGCCCTGTTAAAGTAACCCTTGTCATCATTTATGCTAAAGATGCTACCCTTCTGGCAGCTTGCCACAAGACAGTTCTTGTGCATCTGCTTTTTAACCCTTTTCTTTTAACCAGTAAAATTTTAACGATAAGGTGCTCAGCCAGTGTACTAAGTACAAAAATGTTTCTTTTTTTTAATAGTTGCTGTTCCAATAATAAATAACCTGAATTTGCTATTTTCTTGGCCACAGTTCATTAATAATGCTGAACTAACTATAAATGTGGAGAAGAAAAAAATCACAAATCTTACCTAAATACCTAGATCTTAACACAAGTCATAAAAAGGTTCATTTTTCTTCCTTTTTTTTTCTCTTTGGACCAAAAAAGAATATTTATCAAAAAATTCTCATGTTACCCACATATATTTTTAACAGATAATATAAAATTAAAAGTTATGTTTCTCAGATATACAAATGTACCTTAGCATTCAGGATATATTCAAAAGAGACAATATCTTGAGTAATTTAGATAAGATTTTCTTCTTCTTTAATAATATAGTCAGATTAGGACAGATACATTACCTAAAGGAGGTTCAGTTTAATGATGTTGACCCAAATGAGATCATTTAATATTAACAAAATTATCTAGATGGGACTAAAATGTCTTACTCACAAGACATCTGCAGTATGTGTTTGGGGTTCTCAGTCTGCACACCAGTCACAACAAATCAGACAGGACAGAGGCAGCCAACTTATTCCTCTCCAGTCAACATTATTCTTTTGCTAGACAGGTAATTGAACATTCTTTCTGTTTAGAAAATATAGTTCTATAAATAGACTGGAACAAATTTCATAGGAAATACTTTGGTTTCTATTTGCTTATTTTTGGATAATGATGCAAGTGTGTGTGTGTGTGTGTGTGTGAGAGAGAGAGAGAGAGAGAGAGAGAGAGAGAGAGAGAGAATGTGTGAATGAATGCACGTTTGCTTCAGTGCTCTATACCTTGCCAGTGTAGCCCCCATTTCTGACTCACTGCCTCAAGGACTTACTCTCATAACTCCCTTATACCCCATCTTCCTCCACCCCTCCCCCCACAACAGAGAATGAGTTGGTGAAAATTGTTGGTTTGTGTTTGTTTTTGTCTTTTTGGCCTTTTTGATAGGAACAATGCTACCTGTTTTCTGTGTGGTGGAGCATTATGAAAATTCCATTGAATATGATTGCAAGGAGGAACATGCAGAGTTTGTGTTGGTAAGAAAGGACATGCTTTTCAACCAACTGATAGAAATGGCATTGCTGTCTCTTGGATATTCTCACAGCTCTGCTGCCCAAGCCAAAGGTAAATAATACATCTATGCAATTGGAGAAAAAAAAAGTCCCATGTTTTATGTGTACTTTATGGAAGAAACATTGTATGTTTTTCTTCTTAGACATACATTTGAGGTGGGGTTATATTTTTGTTAGTCTGTGACTTTAAAAAATTGGCTTAATTCATTTTGGTTTAGTTAACACACATTTTGCTCATGTGGAATGTTGAGGTAGATTTTTTTTAAATTGCTTCAACTGAATCATTAGTATGCTTATTGACCTTAATAATCTGCTCCACTGAGGATCCACAAGGAAGTGTCGAGCATATTTGAGCAGATGGACTGTTGAGAGTCAATTTGCATTTATGACTGAATATCTAGTTCTGTTTCTTTTATTCTGTTTCTGATGGTTTTATGGGCTGTAAAGTATTTTTCAGTGCTGGTTCCCATTGCAGTAGGGATTCTTATATAAATTGTAAAGCCATTCAGAACTGGTTCAGTTCTGTTGGATTAGAACTTTCTGTAATTTGGGGAAAATATGACTTTATTTATAAATTTGATTGAGAGACTTTTATTTCCAGAGAGTTAAAAAAAAATCTGGTACTATTTCTTTCATGATCTGGAAACCTAAGTGTAAATATCTTCGTTAGCATACTACTCTTTGGATTAAAATGATCCAGGTAGGAATCGTAGTATTATTGGGAAAGGGGGGTGGGACAGTGAGTGGAAATAGGGAAAAGTCCCAGTATAATTTTTTGACTAGAGGGTTAATGAGTCTACAATCTCTTCTCTGTCTGGTATAGGGCTAATCCAAGTTGGAAAGTGGAATCCAGTTCCACTGTCCTACGTGACAGATGCCCCTGATGCGACTGTCGCAGATATGCTGCAGGATGTGTATCATGTGGTCACATTGAAAATCCAGTTACACAGGTGAGTCCCAAGATGGCAGGCAGGAGGTGAGAAAGAGAACCCTGCCTCCCTAGTCCTTTATGGCTACTCAGATTCAGAGTGAAATCTGGCATGGTTTTTTAGAAAGCGTAAGTCCAAATTAATCTTGTCCTGCTGTTCTCCAACTTATCCTATTAAAGAGAACTTTTCCCCTCCTTCTTCTTCTAGCTTTTAATTGATTGGTTTCTGTAGGTATCATATTGCAACTCTGCTGCATTTAGTCAATTAAATGATGCATTACAAGAAGGCATTTTACATAAAGTTTACTTAAGAGAAAAATATTTTTGCATATCATGAACAGTGCCATCTGTGTACATTTTGTGATAGAATGACTTCCTCACTATGACTATATTCTTATTATATTTTAAGTCATGTGAACATCGATGAACGGAAAATAGTTAATATATTAGTGCTTTTCTTGATCGGTCATGAGAAAGCATTACACCTTAAATTGTCTTACCAAGCGCATCAGAGCAGAAAGGTAGAAGTAACATGAAAAAATAGTCACCACATGCAGCTGATGTATAATTCATGCATCAATACAGCAGATGTGTTGTATAAAGTAATTAACTAATCGGAACAATCAGGAGACCGAGAGCAATCTCCAGATGCATCTGCTTGATGCGCAAAATGAAATCTGTCTGTCTTAAAGGAATGTTCTGCAGCAGGATGCAATCTTGTAATAATCCCCTTTCTAATCTATGTCTCAAATAGTTGCCCTAAACTAGAAGACTTGCCTCCAGAACAATGGTCTCACACAACCGTAAGAAATGCTCTGAAGGACTTACTGAAGGATATGAACCAGAGTTCATTGGCCAAGGAGTGTCCCCTTTCCCAGGTACTTAGCCTAGCATGTGATCAATAATGAAACACTATATAGAGGCAGCCCCCATTGGAGAAGGGATATTGCTACATTTTAAAGCAACTGGTATCAGAAGATCAAATTGGCCAGAAATGAAAATGGGTTTGACCACTTGGCACTCTTTTTAAATCTACTTGATTCATTTTGTGTATAACTTGTATGGTATTTTCCCTTGGGAAAATTTAAAGGAAAATGGTAAAAAAAAAAATCCATTCAGGAGAAGACCATTCCAATGAGCTTGCTTTTTCAATTTTCAAGCATTTCAGTCGGGGCTTTTTTTTTTTCATAGAAGGAGTAAAGAGGTTCTCACTCTTGTCAAAGGGTCACTAAATTTAGATGATTGTTTAAGTAACTTTTGCTAGTTTTAAATGTAGCTTACAAAATAAGATCATCTAGGAATGCTAACAAGTCAAATAAACACCAGGTTCTAATCTACAATGAAAAGAAATGCCATTTACTATTAGAACTGGAAGAAAAAAAATCTAATAGAAATGGAACTTTTCTATTACCTACTTACGACTAAGGATTGAATACTTACATTCCTTCAGACTTAAATTTTTTTTCTCATTTCTTTGGCATTGATTTAAGTTACCTTGAAGTATATAACCTTATTTTTCTCTGTGATGTAATGTCCAGTGGTCAGGAACTTAAAGGGGGGGACGCAGATTTGTTGTTTTATTTTAATTTTTAAACATGAATTTTGCTAGAAGTAATTGAAACTCTCAGTAGAAATTCTGTTGCAGTTTAGTATTTCTGATGGATAAAAAGAGAGTGAATTGCTTTTGAAGATGAAGTTTACTTTCTTTTTTTCAGAGTACATTCATACCTTGCTATAATGGGAGTCCTTATGTCCATGCTATAGGACTATATAGTAAGCAGCAAGGTCCTTTAGGTGCATAAACATTTCAGTAGCTTCTAGGACAGATAGAAAATTATTCTGACTTCCTTTTTTTGATGCACTAGATCACACTATAGTGACGTCTTGGTGTACTTACTGTATTCTTCTAGAATTTAATATTTTACCATTATTAAGATTTTTAAAGCAAGTTTTGTAAAGATTTTTGAAGTCTTTATAGATTGAATTGGCATGCAGTTCTGTGAATCTGGAATAATCATTTATAGAATTGGAAATTAATAATAATTCCCTAGGTTCTACCTGTCTAATTGTCTGATAGGTGCCTATGAAGTAACCTTGTGTGATTTTGTGTTTGTTCAGCCCTGGTCCCATCAGCTTTGCCAGCACAAAGAGAATATGACTGAATGAATTGCAAATGAATGCTCAAATTTTTGACTCTTAGTATATTATCTTAATGTGTTGCAGTAGCTGCCTGTTAAATACATGCATGCTGCATTTTATAAATCACGTAATTGAAATGTTGATTTATTTCTTTGCCATATTTCTTAGTTTTCAGTTACAATTTCATCAAAATTCTCCTTCTCTTCTCCCCCCCTCAATTTTCGAGGAGAAAGATAGTTATTTTATGAACATTGAGCAGAACCAGTCAGGTTGCTGGCAAACTGGGAACATTTACATAGGAAACTCAGTTTTGTGTACAATTCCATGGGGGGGTGCCTTGAACTTGACTACTGAAATTTGAAAGTTAAAAATGATCTGAAAGGGTTTTTTTTAGGTTCAAATCTGAGGCTCATGTAAAAGCTAAAAGAAACTTCTAGAATTCCTAAGTCTTTTAGCCAGGTAATGGTTGTAATCTCTTACCTGTGCAGTGTTCTGGAGAAATGCATTGAAATGGCTTGCATATGTTGGCATGGGGAATGTTGAACTAGCTCTTCAGTGGTCTCAAAGGCCAACCAAATTATTCTACCTACAACATGCTGAGCTAGGATTTTGTAATTACAAGGGTGATGTTAAATGCTAAATTGAGACATGGATGAAGTGCAGTCAAGTATTAGAACAGTTAAAAAAAAAAAAGAAAAGAAGTGAAACTGTCCTGAGTTCTTGTGTTCTGGTGTATTACTGTGGGAATGACTTTGACGGTCTCATATAGCCATTGTATTTGGTGACCATGGCATTCTGGAGGCCTTCAGCTTTGAAACCAGGGCATTCATTTACATTTCATTGAGAACTTTGGACTACATATTTGCTTTTGTCTTTTGAGAAAATTACACACAGATCATCAGTGGCAGCAATTCAAAGTCAGGTCAGAATTAAATTGGGTTGGCTTTTCAAATATGCCATTTGAGATGTGGGGACACAGTGTGTATGGATGTCCTCCAAATTTGGAGGGACGATTACTTTTTTCCCTAGGTGGTTAAAACTCTACATTCTGATCTTTTTCAGTTGTTCATTTTTCTGACATCCCATTTTTCTTGTTCCCCCCCTTGTTCTGTGGCTATTTTACTCCTTGTGAAAAACAGCAATCCAGAACATTTTAATTGGGGGCTCTTCCTACCAACTTATTTCTCCATTCTTTCCCTTTCATCTTCTCTGTATCTTTTGATCAAGGAAAAGGAATTCCAAGCCTTCAGAACTTTTTGCCCTGACCTATTTTTCCTCTTATGGTTGGAATTTGTTGAAAAGGGTGTGATAGTGAAAATCCGTTTCTTCGTCTAGGTCCTATGTGTGATTTGAATTTATTTGCAGCCAAAGCATATTGATAAGGACCTAACATCAAAAACCATCAGATTTTGAGATGTCAAATGACATTGGATGAATCACAGAATCTCAGAGTTGGAAAGAGCTTCAGAGGGGATTTAGTCCAACCTATACCTGTGCTAAAATCCCTTCTATAATTCTCAATAAGGGATCATCAAGCATTTGCTTGACCCCCAGGGGAGGGGAAAGAAACCTTCCTGACGTGGGATATGAGGATCGTAAACAAAGACCTGGAAAGAAGTAAGTGAGCAGGCTGAGGTCCAGAGGATTTCCCTGACTTGCCTACAGTCACAGGGATTCTCATTGTTCCTTGTTCTGCCCTCTGGGGCCAGCCTGGAGAAGTCAAATCCCACTCCCTTGATAGCCCCTCAAATAAGTGACAAAAGCTATTATGATTCCCCTCGCCCACATCTTCAAAAAAAAACCCCTACATTTTTTCCTTACATTCATATGACTAAAGAGAAGATTCTAGCATTGTCTGAATTCAAAAATACAATGAAGCTTTATTATGTTGCTTTAAGAAGCCAGAATCCAACCCATGTCAGATTACCTACAGAGAGCCAACCAGGAACGTTCCCATGAGCCTAAAGGGCACTGGGCAGATTTTGCACAGAGTAGAAGTTGGCTGCCACTCCTTTACCCCCATTACCACCTCTTTAAATTCTAAAATTGGTAAGATATTCTAACAGCTCCTGAACAAATGCCCAATTACTCTATAGGTAATCTTAAATTTAGTTCATTCTGTTCCTTCGTTGGGTTCCAAATCCTAGCTATACATTTAAAAAGCCATTATAATATATATGCCTTTATTGAATTACCCTAACAGTGGATATAGAGTGCTCGACTTGTAGTCTGGAAGACTTGAGTTGAAATTCCTATCTTGGTTACTCATTAGCTGTGTGACCCTGGGCAAGTCATTTATCCTGTCTGCTTCAGTTTCTTCAAATGTAAAATGAGGATCACAATAGAGCCTACCTCATCGGGTTGTGGCAAGGATCAAAAGAGATAATATAAAGTTCTTTGAGAACCTTAAGGTGTCATATGAATACTTGCTCTCATTATAACCATCATTATTTTATCTGCTATAGAGCATGTAGATAAAGCATGAGAGAGAAGGGGAGGGGTGGGGAGGGAGGGAGAGAGAGAGAGAGAGAGAGAGAGAGAGAGAGAGAGAGAGAGAGAGAGTGAGTGAGTTTGTTAGTTAGTTGCTACATGCATTTGGGGAGGAGACAGCCATACCAATGAAATCACAGGTCCTCCAAAGTAATTCATGCATGTTAACTTTTATATAAAAATATTTACATTGTTCATAAAAAATTTAAGTTTAGCCATGTTATTTGGCTTAATAGCCTTCTCACAGATAATGCTAAAATACATTCTATACTTCCCATGGCAAATCTGCCAAAATCAAATGATTTATCAAGGACCGTGTATTTCGATTTTGATTTTTGAAAAGCTAAGCTATAACAAAGAGTTGTCATACATGGGATTTGCAGTTGTGTAAGCACAAAATTGCTGTGGATACTTAAGCTTAGAATTGTGTCTTAGCTAGCTAGCATGACAGAGGAAGAGTATAATAGTTTGATTTTGTAAAAGAGGGCATGAGATGCTGGGCAATATAACATGAAGAGCACAGGTCTTGAGGTCAAAAGATTGAAGTCTGAGCCCAACTCTGGCATTACTAAATGGGTTACCTTGACCAAGTCACTTTAGGGGTCTCTGGCTTTTCTTGTTTTTAAAATAGAAACGATCATTTTTTTGTGCATTCTACTCTCCCCCCCCCCCGCCCAGTTGGTTATGTAAGTGATTTGTAAACTTAAAGCAGTTCATACATGTGAATTGAATATATTATTAATTAATGGTAATGCAGTGGGTAGAGCCAGAGCCTAGAGTCAAGAAGACCAGACTTCAAATCTGTCTGTAGATATTCACTAACTATGTGACTCTGGGCAAGTCACTTAATCTCTATCTGCCTCAGTTTCCCTCATCTGTAAAATGGGGATACTAATAGCACCTACTTTCTAGGGTTGTTGTGAGGATCCAATGAGGTAAAAATTGTAAAGCACTTAGCATTGTATCTGGCACACAGTAAGTGCCATATAAATGCTAGCTATTTTTAGCTATCATAAGAGTTTTGAAAATATCAATTTTGTTACAAACCTCTTCTTAAAGAAAAATCCCAGTGTTCCTTTGCTGTGAAATGGAAACATTAAGTTTTGGTGATATTTTCATTTAAAATTTTAGAAAGTTTAAATTTCAATACTTCATGGTTACACATTATACAAGACTGCCCTACAATAAGTATTCTGGAAATAGTAACATCCATCTAAACATGGTTAATCTGTATAATATACGTATATAT